GGAAGGAAGGAAGGAAGGAAGGAAGGAAGGAAGGAAGGAAGGAAGGAGAGGGGAGGGGAGGGGAGGGGAAACAAAAGAAAAAAAAAGAGAGAAGGAGGAGGAGGAAGGGAAGGGAAGGGATGGGAAGAGAAGGGACGGGACCGGGAGGGAAGGGGAGGGGAGGGAAGCTAGAAACCTAGAGTCATCGGGAGGGAGGGACGAAGGGAGGAAAGGAAGGAAGGAAGGAAGGAAGGAAAAGGGAGGGAGGGAGGGAATGAAGGAAGGAAGGAAGGAAGGGAGGAAGGAAGGAAGGAAAGAAGGAAACCTAGAGTCATCCTGAGGGAGGGAGGGAGGGAGGAAGGGAGGGAGGAAGAAAAGCTAGAAACCTAGAGTCATCCTGACTCTAGTCTCACATCAGATTGATGATCAAAACCTATTAATTTTACATCTTACATATTTCTTAAATCTGCCTTCTTTTCAAACAGCTTTGAAAAGTATATAAATATATAAATCACATACTTCTGTGCTGGGCAAAGTGTCTCACACCTGTAATCCCAACACTTTGGGAAGCTGAGGCAGGAGGCTTGCTTGAGGCCAGGAGTTCGAGACCAGCCTGGGCCACAAAAAAGTGAGATCTCATCTCTACAAAAAATTTTAAAAAATTACTTGGGTGTAGTGGTATGCACTTGTAGTCAGCTGCTAGTCCTAGCTGAGGTGGGAGGATTACTTGAGCCCAGGAACTTGAAGTTATCATGGGCTGATTGTGCCACTGCACTCCAGCCTGGGCAACACAGTGACACCCTGTCTCTAAAAAATAATAAATTAATAAATTCTATACTTCTGCTTCTTACCTGAAGTAGCCTCCTGCTTCCCCTGCCTTGTTTTGCCTCTGCCACTCACTCCCTGACCCCTTCTACCACACTCCTGCCAGAGATTTTTTTCTTCTAAAATTATAGACCTCCTAAAGTTGCCGATCTGATATTATAAATAGGATTCCATATCAGTTAATTATTGCTGAATAACAAACAATCCCACAACTAAGTGGCTTAAAGCAACAAGGACTGATCATTTCTCAGGATTCCGTGGGTTGGCTGGGTGATTTCCTTGCTGGTTACGCCCGGGTTCCCTAATACGGCTGTATTTGACTAGAGTATCATTTGGGCTGGAAGATCCAAGATGGTCTCTGTCATGTGTCTGACAATTCATGCTGGGTTTCAGAAGGGGCACCTCATGTCTCCTTTTCCTGATGTCTCATCCTCCAGTAGACTAGATCGACTTCCTTCCATGAGGATTTTAGGGCAGCATTCCAAAAGGGAGAAGGGAGAAGCTGTGTGGACTTTTGAGGCCTAGCCTCACGAACCTGCACACTTCACTTCTGTTATATTCTATTTGTCAAAGCAAGTCACAGCCCAGCACAGATTTAAGAACTGGTAAAATAGACTCCACTTCCTGATGGGAACAGCTGTAAAGAATTTATGACCATGTTAACTTACCACTGGGTCCTGATCACCTTTAGGATGAAGTTCAAATATTTTAGCATGGTGCACAAAGTCTTTCAAATCTGGGCTGATTTCTTGCCATATACTGTATCTTTGGCTATGGAGAACTGTTTGTTCTTTAACCTTGCCATAAACCATCACATTTTCATGCTCTTGCTGTTCCTTGCATATTGCTTTGTATAGAGGTGCCATAGTGTATTTTCTTGTTTTTGTGTTACTTAGATTGATTTCCAGTTCGTCATTATGACCCTATAGTAACCATTTTTTAGCAAGTGGAATTACTTATGGAATCAAGAATGTTGATTAAAAAAAATTTTTTTTTTAATGCTTTTGATTCTTAGTGCTAAACCATTCAGAAAGTTGCCAGGTTATACTCCAGTTAGCAAGCTGTGAGAGGACCCAACTTGCTAGAGAGGAAGTAAGAGGTACCTAATACCTCCATAACCAAAATGTATTTTTTAGTTTTTATTACCAATTTAACTCCTCATATTTAAGAAAATTTTACAACCCTAATTAATTTGTTATATGTTTTATAAGCAAATATGGTTAACAGCAGTCTAAAGATACAGGAGCATTCCTGAATAGGTTCAGAGCCATTTGTTAACCTGGAAAAGTGGGAGGGTCCATACATGCTTTCAAATGACCAGAAATACTTTTCTCTTTTGAGAATAATTACTATACAGTATCACTGGCATCTAAGTATTACAAAGAGGGTATAGAAGCCAGGTGTGGTGGGTGGTCCCAGCTTCCTCAGGAGATGGAGGGAGGAGGATTGCTTGAGCCCAGGAGTTTGAGGCTGTAGTATGCATTTATGCACCTGTGAATGTCCTCTGCACTCCAGCCTGGGGAACATAGTGAGACTCTGTCTCTAAAAAAGGAGGGATGGGTAGAAATTTGAAAAGGAGTAAAAAATGGGAAGAGGAAAGAGACGACTTAGGGATAAGTTGGCAGAACATACGTTTGGACAAACAAGTTTCCATCAAGTTTGCTAGATATAGAACTGCCTGATTTTTAGCCATTAAGAATGAGAAAGAATAGTTATATAAATTCAAAAGAAATCTGTTCATGTTACTATAGTTTTATAACTTAAAACAAGGATATCTAGCTGGGTTTCTCTTTGTATATCCTTGTTCTATTTTCTATTCATTACATTGTTTCAAAATTTAATTAATTTGTTAGTGGGGCCTTTTATAGCCCTATAACAGACCATTTTGGAAGTTGGAAAATGTAAGTTCTGTGGCAGTGCCAGGAGGTCTGTGTTGTAAAATAATTTATTTAAATCTCTGATGGTTATGAATAATGGTTATGCTCTTAAAAATTATAAAATGCTGTTTTTTCTGTCTGTAAGATGGAAGAATTTCTGCCTCTGCCTGAGAACATTCTCTGATTTTAGATGTGAAAGTATATATTAGTAATATGTTACATACTTAATGAGATCGTTTCTCATTTGTCTTTGAAGCTCTCCGTGGACAAGTTGTTCAGTTCAAGCTCTCAGACATTGGAGAAGGGATTAGAGAAGTAACTGTTAAAGAATGGTAAGTGAATCTGAAAAAATCTCTTAAGTAAATTTAAAAATAATTTGAGTAAAAATAACTATTTTTATTTTTATTTATTTAATGGATAGTTGGAATCTAAATTGAGAAACGTCTTTATAAACACATAATGCATTTTTAAAAGCAATAAGGTAGAATTACCTTGTGTTGATGATATAGTGGTGAAGGAATTTGTCATACATCAAGGTACTTTATTCAATGTGATTTAAAACTGTCAGGTAGTCTGAGCTCTCTTCACTGTACTGAAAATGACTTTAGTAAGAATATATGTTTGACTTACCATTACCTGATACAGTTTACTTGCATGTTTAGAAGAGATGAAAATATTTTACCAGAAATCACGAATTGAAAAATAAATTTTGAAACATTGAAAAATTATCCAAAAAAGGGCCTGAAAGAAACAAAACCCTTTCATCCTCTACCCCATTTCTTTATTTCACCTTCTGGAAAAATAGAAACACTTCTGGGTACCGGACTCAGTTTTAGAGGTTGTTAGAAGTGGCAGTTAAGATGAGTAAATAGAATACTTTCCACCTTAGATTTATACCATTAAAGATCCTTTTAAGAATCCGGTTCAACCACCTGAACATTCTTTTCTTGTTATTTACTTGTTTTTTACTTCTTTACTTCAAACATTCTTTAAACATTCTTTACTTATTGTTATTGCTTTGTAAGTTAGAAGAGAACTGTAATAACATAAACATACCTTACGGTTATGTCTCTGTTGGCATTGTGGGATTATGGAAATAGCAATGGACTTCAAATCATAAGAGTCTGATCTTGAAACTTATTAGCTGTCCTACCTGTGACTCACTTGGTCTCTTAATGTGTCATATGTGGATAACAGTACTTGCTCTGCCAACCTTTGGAGCGTTGAAAGGATCAAAATAATGTCATGTATAAGAAATGCATTTGATAATACCTCCTTTTCAAGACCAAGATAGTAGTAAAAAATCTTTATAGATTTTTTTTTTTTTTTTTTTGGTAGAGATAGGGTCTTACTATGTTGACCATGCTGGTCTTGAACTCTTGGCCTCAAGTGATCTTCCCACCTGGGCCTTCCAAAGTGTTTGGATTACAGGCATGAGCCACTGCACCCAGCCTTTTTTGATTGTTTTTAAAAACCATTTCTTAATTTCTACCTCTTATTCTCTATACCCATGTGCTTAGTATAGGGCTTACAGCTCTTAGAAGGGGAAATCATTTTATTTCTAATAAAATTCTTAAAGCTCTTTTAATGAGAAACTAATCATTTGATTAGTTTTTCAGAAGTTCTTTAAGAAATATTAAGAGCTTTCTTGAATTCTGTTTTTTTTTTCCTAACTTAATATTGTAAAAAGTAAAGTAGAGGTTCCTCTTCAAAGACGTTCTTCCTCATTTAATTAGGAATAAATAGTAATTTCTCTAAGAAGCAAAATTTATTCAAAGACCTGTGCTGACATTCTTAAATATCTGCTAGCCATGATAAAGAAATTGATGTCCTTTATGTTCTTAGCTCGTATAATTTAGCCTAAATATTTGCCCTGGCATGCTTATACTGGCCCAAGCAAGCATTAGGTCATAGCCTGTTCCTCTTCCTTATTTGAAGGTGTTTTTACCTTTCTCAGCATTCCACAAGTTACTTCCTCCTTCCTTTGTTCTCCTCTACCTTTGCCTCTTTTAAAAAGTTCTAAGTTGCTAGCCAATCAGGACAAATACAGAATGTGAGGTCCCGTTCCTACCAATGGAAATCAGACACAGCAGCAGGTTGGATGCGTCAGGTTGTAAATGACCCTGTCTCCTTTGTTCGGTGTACTCTTGTGGCAAAACTGCTGTTGAGTGTACTCTTTCTGCAGGAAGTAAAAATGGCCTTGCTGAGTAAATTACATTTATGTTCAAGTGCTATTTCTTTACAGCACTGAGGAACAAGCATTTCAAACAATGTCCATAAATAAGGAAAAAATACGTATTGTGTTGCCCTTGGTAAAATGCTAAAGGGCAGAATTCTAGTCTATAAAATGGAGCCTGAGAATAGAAATTTGAATATGTAAGGAAGCATAATTTAACAGAAGGTAGTGTGGTTTTGGGTAAGGTTAAATAAAACTTCATTTATTCTTAGAATTTGTGGGAGCAAATGTATGGAAAAAGAAAAAAAATACTTACATTTCACAAATCCTTTGACAAACTTCTAAAACAAGTTTAGATGTTATATGTTCTTTTGTCTTAAAGTCTATTTTGTCTGATAGTATAGCCACTCTAGCTTGCTTGCTTTCTCTTTTTTTTTTTTTTTTTTTGAGAGACAGGGTCTTGCTTTGTAGCCCAGGCTGGTCTCAGACTCCTGAGATTACAGGCTAGCCATCACACCTGGCCTTGTGTGACATATCTTTTTCGATCCTTTTACTTTTTACCATTTGTGTTCTTCAATTTAAATTATATTTCTTAGCATAAAGTTGGAGCATTTTTTTAGAATCTATTCTGCCAATCTTTGCCTTTTTATTGGAGTATGTAAACTTTTTAGTGTATATTTTAAAGTTATTTTCTTTGTGGTTGCCCTGAGGATTACAACTAACATGTTAATTTAAAACACTATAATTTGGATTAGTAGAAACTTAATGGAATACAAAGACTTTGCTCCAATATAGCTCTATCGCCTCTTCCTTCCTTTTGCTATTTGTCATATGTATTCCTGTTTTCTTTTTTTAGAATTATTATTCCATTAGCCCAGCATGGTGGCACAGGCCTGTAGTGCCAGCTACTTGGGAGGCTGAGGTGAGAGGATGGCTTGAGCCCAGGATGCAGAGGTTGCAGTGAGCCGAGATTGCACCACTGCACTCCAGTCTGGGCAACAGAGCAAGACCTTGTCTCAAAAAACAAAACAAAACAAATAATTGTCATTCCACATTGAAAGTATTCCATTTTTAAACATCATAAAGCACATCAACACAGTTTTATAAGTATTGCTTTAATGTGGTTGTCTTGTAAATCAGATAGGATTTTTTTTAAAGTTACAAACAAAAAGTTACAAATAAAACAAAATACAGATGTGGCCAGGTGTGGTGGCTCATGCCTGTTATCCCGACACTTTGGGAGTACTGCTTGAGGCCAGGAGTTCCAGACTAGCCGGGACAACATAGCAAGACCCTGTCTCTATCAACAACAACCACCCAGATGCTCCTTGACTTATGATGGGGATAAGTCATAAACCCATCAAAACTGAAATGTCTTAAGTTGAAAATGTTTAGCCTAGCCTACCTTAAACATGCTTGGAACACGTACCTTAGCCCACATTTGGGCAAAGTCATCTAATACAAAGTGTATTTTATAAAGAACTGTTGAATATCTTATGCAGTTTATTGAATACTGAAAATGAAAAACAGAAGGGTTGTATGGGTGCTCAAATTACTGTTTCTACTGAAGGCATATTGTTTTTACACCATCATAAAGTTGAAAAATTATAAAAGTCAGAGACCATCTGTAGTGCCAGTTTTCCAGGGATTTTGCTTTTTGTGGTGATCCAAACCTAGTATTCCCCTTACAGTGGCTGCGAGGCTGCTGATTTGGCTCCTGCTGTGCTAGGGAAAGGAGGATGGAAATTGGGCAAGTTAAAATACTACAAAACTCAGCCATTTTTCCTGAATACATCCTTCTTAGTTGTTGCAAGCCTTTTTTTCTAATTTCCAAAATTCTGAAAAAATAGATTTTTAACAACTTTTGTCACTGTGTTGTTCATATGGAAGAGCAGATTTTCAGAAGTCTTTAATCCATCATTCTGGAAGTGAAAGTATGTGCTTTTAAACCTGGTTTCTATGTCATAGGTGCTGTTTTATCATAGACTGCGGACTGGTTAGGATAGGAAGACAAGAAGCAAGAATGACAACAATGATCTGTTGCTGGCAATAAGTCAGAAATAAGTGCTAGAGACATTAAGAATGCCATTAGAATCAAAATTAGATGTATTATTTCAGGTTTGGTCCCATTCTTCCTGTTTTATTTGCTAAGACTCTCTAGAAAAGCCTGTAAAGTATACCTAAAATGATTATGGGGTTAGAAGGACTTTATATAAGAACAGGCTAAAATAATTTTAGAAAGAAAGACTGGGAGAACTCACATCTAAAATTCACGAAATTACAAAGGATATGTATTGAGGACATCAATTTTTAAACTTGCTTCTGGAAGTATTGGGCATCCCTTAAAGTTTGGAAAAGGGTAATGTAAGACAATAGAAGGAAATACCACTTTAAAAATGTATTTTTAGAACTTATTTTTCTAATAAATGGGTCAGACAGAAAACCTGAGAGTTTAATTAAATTTTTGGATTATAGACTATGGATTGCTTGAAATTTTTTTGAGTATTTCTTGGAGATACATTGAAGAGACTCTGGAAGTCATTATAGTCTTCTCCGAAACATTTCTTAGTACACCATCTGAAAGTAAATGCTGGGCTAGATGAATACTGATCTAGCTTAGCATGGCATTTACATCCTTAACATGATCTCTACTTATGATTGTTTATGTAAAAGTGTCTCCTTTCTTTTTCTTTTAGGTATGTAAAAGAAGGAGATACAGTGTCTCAGTTTGATAGCATCTGTGAAGTTCAAAGTGATAAAGCTTCTGTTACCATCACTAGTCGTTATGATGGAGTCATTAAAAAACTCTATTATAATCTAGACGATATTGCCTATGTGGGGAAGCCATTAGTAGACATAGAAACGGAAGCTTTAAAAGGTATTGTAAGTCTGTTAATCTATTTTACCAAATTGATTATTGGTCTCTTTTTGTCATTGGGTCCCAATTAAAAGTGATCTTTGTTTTTTGTTTTTTACTATTCCTATTTATTTTTGGCTCTTGGGGAAATGTAATCTTTTCAGTTTGAAAAAAGGCAGCAAGTTCAACACAAAATAGAAATCTGAATTGTAGGATAAGACAAAACCAAAGGTGGAGGGAAAAGGCAATAGCAAAAGGAAGAGATGAGATGTTGCAAAAAAGGTGGAGGATGTCCCATCCTTTCTCCTCTGGGGAATGACTGAAACATTCAGGTGGCGTTATGCACTGTTCCACATAAGTCAGTGATGTTACTCCTTTTGGAGGGGTAAGAAGGTTGGGGATGGACTTTTAATAACTTACAGGATTTGAGCTGGAGTTTTAGAAGCCCAAATCAGGAAAATTGAAAAGGTTCTCTGTGAGTCATGATTATCTTTTGGCCAGTTGCCATGTTAAAAATGTGTACAGTAACACTTCATTTACCTGAAGTCCTGCCTTCTGGAGACCTTAGTGTTCAAAGAGGCAACCAGCTCTCTCAGTAATTAAAGATTCAGGCTATAAATACTGGCCACTAAGAACAAAAATTGGAGTATCTAAAGATGAAATCTAATATAATGGACTGCTCTGTTTGCCACTGATACAAAAGAAAAAAAGAAAAAAACAAAAAGCACTCTTGTTGGGGATGGTTATAAAGTTTTTCAGGAGAAGTTGAAGAGAAAAGAAGGAAAATTAAAATGAAAGCAAAGATACCAGCATTTAGAAGAAGCAGCAACCATGGGACTTAACAAGTGGTAGATGTCCTGTCAGAAGGTAATTCATCATGAGAATGTTACAGAGGAAAGCTAAAACAGTTGGCAGTCCCAGTAGTAGTAGGCAGCTGGCTGGCTAACTCAGAAGTTCCTTACAGCACTGTTGTAGTATACCAAAGTTTTATCATCTAGGAATCAGTTTTGATACTAGGGGCTGCAAGAACAATAGGTTCTGTAACAGAACTCCTAGGCCAGCATTCCCACCTTGGAAGTGCTGAGATAAGATACCCCAGTGTAATTCAGAAGTCTAGAAGGAGTAATTGAATTACAGTGACTGGCTGACACTTAGTTCTGCAGTCTGTAGAACAATAACTAATATTACAATCTTTTTTTTTTCCAGAATCACATCGTATAATTTATAAAATTTTTTACCTTTATTATTCTGTGAAGTATTCCAGTTTAGCAGATGAAGAAACTAAACCCAACTGGAAAGGTTGGACAGGCTGGGCTCGGTGCCTCACGCCTATAATCCCAGCACTTTGGGAGGCCGAGGCGGGTGGATCACAAGGTCAAGAGATCAAGATCGTCCTGGCCAACGTGGTGAAACCCTGTCTCTAGTAAAAATACAAAAATTAGCCTGGCATGGTGGTGTGTGCCTGTAGTCCCAGCTACTTGGGAGGCTGAGGCAGGAGAATCTCTTGAACCGGGAGGCGCAGGTTGCAGTAAGCCAAGATCGTGCCACTGCACTCCAGCCTGGCGACAGAGCAAGACTCCATCTCTTAAAAAAAAAAAAAAAGAAAGGTTGGACAGTTTGCAAAATGGTTGGTGACAGGACCAAAGTTAGAACTTAGATGTCCTGAGTCCTTGTCCAGAATATTTTCTGCTATGACATGTTGCCTCTAAAAGCTAGAAGATGATTTATTGAAGGCTTCCTACTACTTTTTATTATTATAAAAGCTGGAGGGGTGCATTGCAGAAAGTTCTAAAATACAGAAAACCAAAACAACAAGAAAAATCGTAATGTTCACAAATCACACTCAATACATTCGTGTATATCATTCCAGACATTTTTCTAGGTCATATGTGTACATGTAGGTATTTTTTTAACCAAAATAATATATTGTATATGCTGTAGTCCAATCTGTTTGCTTTGTTCATCTATGTTTTCATGACAGTACATTTCAATTTTATTTTTTTGTTTGTTTGAGACGGAGTCTTGCTCTGTCGCCCAGGCTGGAGTACAGTGGTGTGATCTTGGCTCACTGCAACCTCCACCTCCCAGGTTCAAGTGACTCTCCCATCTCAGCCTCCTGAGTAACTGGGACTACAGGTGTGCACCACTGGCTAATATTTGTATTTTTTTATAGAGATGGGGTTTCACCATATTGGCCAGGCTGGTCTTGGACTCCTGACCGCAAGTGATCTGCTGGCCGCAGCCTCCTAAAGTGCTGGAATAACAGGCATGAGCCACCACGATTGGCCTATTTCCATTTTATATGATCGACAGACCATATGTAGATTTCCTGAATTATCCCCAAAATGTCCTTGATATTTCAATTGATTTTTTTTTTTAACTAGGATCCAATATAGGCCCATACATTGTACCTAGATGTTATATCTCTTAAGTCTCTTTTAGTCTAGTTTATCCTCTTCTACTTTTGTTTCATGATACTGATTTGAAGAGATTGCCTTTGTTTTGCAGAATGTCAGACTTTTTGGATTTGTCTTGTTGCATTGTGGTGTTATTTAACTTGTTCCTCTAGTCCTTATATTTCCTATAAGCTGGAAGTAAGTTTTAAAGGCTGAATTCAGGCTGGGCTCAGTGACTCACACCTGTAATTCCAGCACTTTGGGAGACCAGGGTGGGTGAATCACTTGCGGTCAGGAGTTTGAGACCAGCCTGGCTGGCCAACATAGTGAAACCCCATGTCTACTAAAAATACAAAAATTAGCCGGGTGTGGGGGCACATGCCTGTAATCTCACTCGGGAGGCTGAGACAGGACAATTGCTTGAATTCTGGAGGCAGAGGTTGTGGTAAGCCAAGATTGTGCCACTGCTCTCCAGCCTGGGCAACAGAGTGAGACTCTATCTCAAAAACAAACAAAAGAAAAAACAAAAACAAAACAAAACGAAACAAATAAATAAAATTTAAAAATAGAGGCTGAATTCAAGTTAAATATTTTGGGTGGAACACATCATAGATCATGTTGTGTACTTCATGTTGCTTCACATCAGGATACACTTAACATCTGATGACTGCCATAGTGGTGCTAAGTTTAAACACGGAACTAGGATAATGATACCCCTACCCCTCTATTGTAGAGTTGTGTTTTCCCCTTTTGTAACCGGAAAATTATATATGTAGTGTTAGCTTTGACACTAAATAAGTAGGTTCGAATATCATTTGAGATCCTTCCTAAGTCAATAATTGCTTTAGTGGTCGTAGAATGATGATTTTGGGATTCTGTCATTCCTTTAACATTTTTAGCTGGCATTCTTCTGTCAAGTGGACCTTTCTCCTGTATCAGTGGGGGCTATCTGTGTTGGGGCTATCTGTATGCTAACTGTATGAAATACAGTTCTTACTGGAAAGAAAATAAATGCTTAATTCTTTCCCTTTACTGGTTCTGGAAGTAAGGAGTTCCTTTAGTAGTCACTTCAAATGGTGATACTAATTTTTCCAGCATTCTCAGTGTGTGTTTGAGTGTATGGTCACATGTCGCATAATGATGTTATGGTCAACAACAGACTGCATATACAACAGTGGTACCATAAGATGATAACACATCTTTACTATACTTCTTTTATGTTTACATATGTTTAAATACACAAATATTTACTATTGTGTTACAGTCACCTACAATATCCAGGACAATAACATGCTCCACAGGTTTGTGACCTGGGAGCAATGGGCTATTTCATATAGCCTACATGTGTAGTAGGCTACACCATCTAGATTTGTGTAAGTGCACACTCAAGTTTGGATAATTGTGAAATCACCTAGCAATGCATTTCTCAGAACATACTCCCGTCATTAAGCAATGCATGACTGTATATCAACTGATTTCATGTGTTTAATCGATTACAGTCATTATTCTTCTGGATGCTCAAACCCGTTATAGTGGTGACCCCTTCAAGCTGGCTCCTATGTGTTCTATTAACACGGTCCTGTTAACTTTTAAAAGCTTCCTTGCTTTTGGCACAAAAGATGTTCTGGGATTCACCTCATACTTTTCCCACCCACACCTGGAATCATTCATTTCTTCAGGGGCTCTTGTTCCTTTAAGTATTAGTATAGAATGAGTAAGAGGCTATAATGTGGGCATTAGGGGTGCTTCGTATTACTTTGATTCTAAATTTCTTTTGAAAGAATTGGCTAGGCACAGTGGCTCATGCCAGTAATCTTAACATTTTGGGAGATTGTTAAGGTGGGAGGATCACTTGAGCCCAGGAGTTTGAGACCAGCCCGGGTAACATAACAAGACCTCATCTCTACAAAAAATAAAAAAATTAGCCAGGTGTGGTGGTGTGCACCTGTGGTCCCAGCTACTTGGGAGGCTGAGGTGAGAGGATCACTTGAGCCCAGGAGGTAGAGGCTGCAGTGAGCTAGTGAGCTCTGTTAATGCCACTGCACTCTAGCCTGGGTGACAGCAGGGCCCTGTCTAAAAAAAAAAAAAAAAAAAAGGCATGCTTTTGTGATTTAGAGAAGTTTAAAGAAAAACAAAACAAAACAAAAAATTCACCTTTAGAATTACCTGAAATAAACACAGATTTTTTTTTTTTTTTTTTGGATTCAGATTTAGAAAGGAAAGAGTGTTTTATTCTTGGCGTAAACTGAGACAAGTAAGGATGCCGAACAGTACTATGGATGTCATGAAATTAGAATGCCCAAGCTGGAAACCAGATTAGATACCAATTTAAGCCATCTAAAAAAGCAAGTTATTTATATGAACAAGTAAACAGTCGGAGTTTATTTGTTTTGTTTTGTTTTGTTTTTTGACACGGAGTCTTGCTCTGTTGTACAAGCTAGAGTGCAGTAGCATGATCATAGCTCATTACAGCCTTGAATTCCTGGGCACAAGCAGTCCTCGCACCTTAACTTCCCGAGTAGTTAGGACTCCATCATGCCCAGCTAATTGGCCTTTTGATTTTTTTATTTTTCTTTTTTTTGAGATGAAGTCTCTCATTCTGTCTCCCAGGCTGGAGTGCAGTGG